AGCCTTGAGCAACCTGCTCTGGTGGGAGGTGTCCCTGCCCAGGGCAGGGGGGGGTTGGGACTAGATGATCTGTAAGGTCCATTCTAACCCCTAAATGCTATGGTTCTGTGAAATGCGGGACTTGTTCCTACTTTTCTTTTTTTCTGAAGCTGCAGGTATAAAATACCTCAGCACTGCCTTGCCCATGTGCTGTGTGGCAGAGCTGCAGTGGATGCCTGGCTGGCACTCCCAGGCAACAGGAGAGTGCCAAACTACAGAGTGCGGTAAGATAAACAAGGCAGACAGCAGAAAGGCAAATTCATGGTTAAATATTCTTGTTACAAGACAGGCAACAGGAGAGTGCCAAACTACAGTGTGCGGTAAGATAAACAAGGCAGATAGCAGGAAGGCAAATTCGTGTTACAAGAAATTACTGTCAATACAACATCTAAGATGTTAAGCAGCCTTCCAGTATCTGAAGGGACTACAGGGAATCCGGAGAGGGACTCTTTGTTAGGAGCTGCAGTGACAGGACAATGGGCAATGGACACAAATTGAAAGACAGGAAATTTAGGTTAGATATTAGGAAAACGTTTTTTCCTGTGAGGGTGGTGAGACACTGGCACAGGCTGCCCAGGGAGGTAGTAGATGCTCCAGCCCAAGCAGAGTTCAAAGCCAGATTGGATAAAGCCTTGAGCAACCTGGTCTAATGGGGAGGTCTCCGTGCCCATGGCAGGTGGGGTTGGAACTAGATGATCTGACAGGTCTATTCCAACCCCTAAGATTATGTGATTCTGTGATCACCACTGTGCACCCATCCAGCCCTCAGAAACTACTCCACTCGTGTTCCTCTTTTGCCAACACATGTGCTCATGTGTTTGAGTGTGGCAGTGGCACCCTGGGCTGGCTGTGCCAGGGCAGCCTCCCTGCAGGTGATGGATTAGCCAAGATCTGCCAGGAACACCATCTGGGTGGGTGAGACTGCAGGGCTGTTTGGCCACTCCTGACTGATGCTGTGCTTTAAGTAGCTGCAATAATATTCCTGTGGCACCTAATAAACTGCTGGGAATTGTTACTAACACAAAACTCCATGTGTTTTCAGTTAATAAAACCCCTGAAATGTTATCCTTTTTTTTTCTTTCCAGGAATTTCCGCTGTGACTGTGGAAATAGCAAGTTCAAAAATCTGCAGTGCAAGTTACTCCCAGTAAGTTCAGACAGGTTTCAGACATTCAGAATCAAAATAACAGTCTTGGGAGGTTGGTGCCTTGTCTCAGCCTGTGCTGACTCATGCAACACCTCCAGTTTTCCCTTCAAGTTAAACAAGGTGGGAGTATTATAGCAGGAGATAGAACTGTTGAGGGACCCCAGGGAAATGTCAAGAGGAGAGAGAACGTTTGGTCCTTGTCATCCATGAATGCAGCAGTTCTGCATCAGTGTGCTGCCAGTAGCATGTTGTGGTGTCTGCACTGTTACATCTCATTGGTTTGAATCTAGTTTAATTACCTTTAATTAATATTTTATTACATCTCATTTAGTTTGACTTCAGAAGAATCTTTTGGGGTGCAATTTTGCAGTTACATTAAGGAGATTTAAGGCTGTGCTGCTGTCAAGGGGACAGTTCCCTTTTCTCCATTGTGGTGATATTAGTGACTTAATCTTTTTGGATAGGTTGTCACCACTGATGTGATAGTTTTGTACTGTGTTAAGCTGCCTCTGCTTTCATACTTGTGCTCCCTACAGAGACACCTGTGACAAGCTTAAAATGTCACTGTTTCTCACTTGAGTCACTGAAATGGATCACGTGGTTGTTCCTTCTGCTTCAGTTCATCACAAAATCAATTGTACAGGTTCAGTGACCTTTGGCATCTCTCCATTAATCTGTCATTTGTTACAGAGGTGGACAGACTGGTTTTCCTCTTTGCTTTTGAACCTCAGCATTCCTCATGTGCCCTACCTGCTGCAACTGGATAGCACAGGCGTCTGGATAATATCTTTCTTTTTGGGTGTTCAAGCTGATGAATATAACAGTTGCTTGTAGGAGTTAAAGTGGAACAGAAATTGGGGTTTTCCAGGTTATGCATATTTTCTGTGTTTTGCTTTTAACTGCATTATCTATTGAGACATTTTTTCTGTTCCTTCTAGGAAAAAGGCAAGGTGAATTCAGGAAATAAGTATAATGACAATTTCTACGGATTATACTGCACTTGTAAAAGACCTTATCCTGATCCCGAAGATGAGGTAAGAAATACAAAACCCAGTAGTAACCATATAGAGATGGTATTACAGGGTGGTCAGTGAGCTGCTTCGCAAGAAGATCCCACTTTAAGAGATCTTACATTCCGTATTGGTTTTGATTGTCATGTGCTGTATAAAGTAATTACTTTATCAGTTTGCCTTTTTGAAAGGTAAAATATGTTTATGCCTTAAAGACTGATGAAGAGAACAAACCATCACTTGGACAAAATGCTGCTTTCTCCTCTCTGAAGCTGCAGAGTTCTCTCAGGGCACCTCAGAGTTCTCATCATCTTGAGAAGTGTGGAGTGTGCAGAATAAACACACTGCACGTTTTAGGAGAGATCAGAACCTGCTTCCTCCTGCCTGCAGCAGTGCTCTGGCAAGGCATCTGGGATAGGGAGAGTGGCCTGGAGCACTGGCTTTAGCTTTCCTTTACAGCAGCCAGAACACTCTGGAGCACTAAAGCACAGCACTTGGTTTGCACACACTGTTGTTTGTAGTCACAGAAATCAGGTGTTTTAGAGAATAAGGAAGGCACAAGTCTTTCCAGATGCAAAGTATTTTATAAGCTCAACTTCCTGAGGTTCAGAGACAGCTAAATATTTCTGAAGAAATCATTAATAAGAGTTCCACAGCAAAGCAGTTTGTACTGTGCTGCATTGTGAGCAGTTAAGTTAGGATTGTGACTTTCCTATACAGACCTGATAACATCGTGACTATCGGTATCTTTCTTCTCTGAGCTGCCTGTTGATGCATTTCTGTTTACAGGAAGAAAGATACCAGTAGTATATTAACTTTTATCAGCTCTTTTGTGTGAGAATGTCTTGCCCTGCTGGGAAAAATAGTTTAGTAATAATAACTGGGCATTTCCACGTCCTCCATAACACAAATGACATGTGTGTTGAACTTCAGGGACACAAACTGACTAATGAAGTGCTAAGTACTTGTTAATGGCAGCTCCCTGTGTGGGTGAAGAGGGAAATGCAGTTCACTCCTGCAGGCTTTGCATAGTACTGCAGTTTGAGGCTTGTGAAAGATTCTGGAAGTTGCTATTAATGCTAATAATATGACTGTTCATTTAGATTCCAGATGAGATGATCCAGTGCATAGTTTGTGAAGACTGGTTCCATGGAAGGGTAAGGAAGCTATGAGTAGCAGAATTGTCTTTTACACAGAAATAAGTTGGTGTTGGTTCAGTTGGTTTGGTTGTTCTTACTGGGTAAGTTTGCTGTAGTTCTCAAAAGATTATTTGTGAGTTCTGAGGTATTTGTTTTCATCCTATGCAAACGAACATTGAAAGTCTAATCTGGTCCTGCTGTCCAGTCCAGTCCAGAAATACCAGGAAGAGTCCTACCTTTTCTGCAGGTCACTGCTGTGGAATAAAGCCATAACTGTATAACTGTCTCTGTAATTGGAAAATTCAAACCAGTGCAGCCAGTGAGGAAAAGATTCTTACTGAGGCACAGCATTATCAGCTACCTGAATAGTCCTTCACTCACAAGGATGCCTTGGAAACTGTGAGTCCTTTAAGTAGCAAGGCAGAAACTGCACTGTTTGTTGCTGATTTCCAGGCTTGGGGAAATCTGTTTAAAGCAGCCCAGGCCTGCAGTGAGTGCCCTACTTAATGGGTAGGCAGTAAGGATCCAGCCACTTGTGCCTTGAAGGACATAAATGGAGTTCCGTGTTTGAAGCTGCAGGATCAAAGGATAAAAACAAACTGTTGGATTCTTTTGTATGAATGTATGTAT